TGAACCCTTCCCGGACACAAACGGTACATTGTGAGACGGGAAATTGTAGAGAGAAACAAGCCCTATAACATAGGATACATTTTAATGAACAGTGCTTTCCATAAAACTAACTGAATAAATTAATCAATCCTCATTTATGTCATATACTAACACACCAAATCTAGTTTTTTTATCAGAAAAAATAAGAAAGTTATTGAGGTGAGCCCCTTTTGTCACCAAAACCGTTGTTTTGTTATCACTCTGAACAATTGCCTGGTTAAAAGCTAAACCTGTAATTAAAATTACACATGTTTGTAATTAAAACAGTTCTTGTACCTTTAATTTTTGTTGACCGCGTTTTAATCAATGGCCAATTATGCGCTGTTAACAATTAGAGCTAATTAACAATTATAAACCTGTCAATAAATCATGCTCGGGAAACGCCAGAAAAATCCACATATGCCACATGCTGGACTAAATTTAAATTTATTATCACTTTTTAGCGTTAGAGACTGGCAATTTATTAAAACATATATACGCAGGTAGCATACTAATTAAACTTTTTTTTAACTTAAAATATTAAATACATATAATTACAGATATTTATTAAGTTAATAAATTTATTTTTTCTACATATTAGATTAAAAGAAAAAAAATTGGTTAGAAAATTGTATCTACTGCATGCTTAGATTTATTCTAGCGAGGACATCGACGAGTATTTTGAAAAAAAATCATAAACCTGGCTAGCTTTTTCGTGTAGTTTTTTACGTTTTAGTTTACGTTTTAAAAAATATCCAGAAATTATTATTTCAAAGAATTTATTACGAGTAGAAAAAATATTGTGCTGGGTTGGCGTTGATTTCTTTGGTATTTGAGAAATAAATAAAGCCTTAGTTGTCAGTTTTGAGTCAGTATTTTTTAATTCTCTTTCGTGTCGACTGCTGATTGAATTGGAGCCAGAAATGGCTCAAAACGAAATAAGTAAATTGCCAACAGATATTCAGGCTGAGGCGACAAACGCCATATCCAAACTACTTCCATTTAAATCTCGAATAACTTATGAAAAGGAAAACAAAAACTTTCAAAAATGGAAGCAGTTAAAAACGTGCGAGAAGAAATAAAGTTTTTAACCTATCCCCGCTGTTAAAGTATCATTTAATCTACCTTTGCGGTTAAAGTACTATTTTATCTACTATTTTTGATAGATATAAGGCAATTTTAACAGTTGCTATGGAAAAAAATCAAAAGTTGTAGTTATTTACGGTGAAACAAGATTTAATACAAATCAATTGAATGCGTCTATCAACCCTCATTTATGTCATATACTAACGTACCAAATCTAGTTTTTTATCTGAAAAAATAAAAAAATTATAGGGGGTGAGCCACTTTAAAAAAATAGTCTTTTACGATCTTTTAAGAATTGGATAAAGAATTATTTTAGTACCACCAGTTTAGCGCCAATAATGAAACCTTGGAAACAGCAGATACAATCACGTATTTGGGCTGCAGCCTGAACAAGGAATGAGACCACTCACGAGAGATCAGATGCCGCATAGAAAAAGCCAGAACCGTTTTTAACCGTCTTAGAAAGATCCTAGGCAATATGCACCTGAATATTGCTATAAGAACACAGGTCCTAAGGTTCTACGTATTTTTCACGCTCCTATATGGAAGCTTGGACCTTGACAGTTGCTACATCTAAGCGTTTGGAAGCTTTTGAAATGTGGTGCTATTGCCGTATACTCAGGATTTCATGCACTTACCATGTCACAAACAACACCGTGATCCAAAGAATGCAAAAGGATCTAGGAATTATACATAGTGTGAAAGTGAGAAAAATGGCATATCTTGGGCATGTGATACGTAATGATAAATACCAACTTATCCAACTAATACTGCAGGGCAAAACAGATAGTAGAAGAGGTCAGGGACGCCGACGAACATCATGGCTGAAAATATTAGACAGTGGACGGGAATGACGACCGTACATTTATTCAGGTCGGCTGTCAATACGATTATATGGACCAACATGATTGCTAACATCCATAGAGGATAGGCACTGAAAGAAGAAGAAGATAAAGAATTACATAACTGAGAACCGTAGAAAGAGTAGGTATTGGTATATGTAGTAGCAGCAGTTGCAGCATATTATAAAGTTTTAATACCTATACTATGTGTTGCAGATGTTAAAAAAAAATTATATACCTAGTACAATATTTAAATATTAAAATCGCAATCCCAGGTTACAGTAGCAGCGATTTAAAAATCGCAGTTGCAGTTTCAATTGCGATTGGAGATTGGCAGTTTTGCTCATCTCTAAAAATAACTGAAGTATATAGGGGCTTTTAAAATGATCTGGTAGTAAATCGTAAGGAAGAAAAAAAACTCATAGAAAAAATACTATCGACAAAGTTAACCAGGCGAACAAACTAGTCGTCACTATCGACAAAAAAAATGGTTTTCTATTTCCTTTTATTCCTTTCCTGTCGCTTCGTTCCGAAGTGAGAATTACTACCGACGACAACGTTTCGTCGATTAAATACCACCACCATCATCATCATCGTAATCCACTTGGTTTCGTTCTTTGTTGCACTAATTTAATTTTCCCAGAATAAGCAGAACTTAATTTTGTTTGAGAGACATCGGTTACCGTTCGTGTCGTCCTTTTTGTTTCTGCTGCTGTCTCTTCTTCTTCTTCTCTGTCTTCTTTTTCGTTTTTGTCGGAGCGTGACAGTTGTAACAAAGCAATCGACGGACCGTGCCCATTTCCAACTTCCTGTGTCATCTCTCCGCGATCGAGGAAGGTAGGTGCGCTTTTTTGACGGTCGCTTTTTATAAGGTAGTTCTGACGAACTTCACCTGGGTGTTCGAAAGATTTAAGGTGGGATACCCGCGTGTTTAAGTGTGAAATATTATATCAATTTACATAACATTGAGCAAGCTATAAAGGATTACTTTAATTGTGGTAGACAATGATTCAGTGTTGAAACTAGAATGTAGAATGTTTAGGAGGGGAGTTAATCACCGCGACCTTACAGATCTATTGTGTGTTCCCCTTTCTTGAGTTATAACGAGTTATAACTCATCATACAGTCTCAGGGCTTTAACAAAAGCCAGTATCTGAGAGGGCTCCACAGAGGCCAGCTATCCATCCTCGACATCAGCCGTACCAAAGTTCATGGCACGAATGGTCGTCGTCTCGGCGCACTCAGTGATAAGATGTTCTGATGTTTTCCCATTTTCCCCACAGAATCTGCATTCGCCGTTGTTTCTCAGCTTCAGCCTACTGACTGAGGTATTCGTTGAGGAGGCAGTGTCCTGTTAGAAACCCCGTAACAATCCGAAGCTTGTGAACGAAACTCTACAGTTTAGATTTGATAATGGTCAGTGATCTTTCCGAAACGTTGTGTTAATAAAAAAAAATAAAAAAAAAAGGCAATGGAAGTCCGAAATTCGTTTACTGTAAAGGGTGTTTCAAAGACTCTCATCATTGGGGTCCAGGAAACGGTAAGTGATTCGGGGTTGCGTATATTAACTAATAAAAGAGTAAAGTTGCCTGTTCATGTTAGTGAGCCCAATGGTAATCCGTTTAGGTACTCGTTCAATATTTTATCTTTTTTATTTCCGGAAATACGGCGGAAAAACTCAAAATTTCCGGTTTTCGTTTTTATTTTTTACAAGTTTAATTTGAGAGTTAGAAAACATCTATAAAGATGACATTAGCAAAGAAACTTTCTTAGCTTCATCCTTTGATGATGTCAAAAATCACTTATGACGTTTCGTTTTTCTGGAACTATAATCAACTTTATTCTTTTAAATATGGATATAGTTTTTTTATTTCATTTTTTTTTAGAAGGTTATGACCTCCCAAATACAATGATATAGCGCACTTATCCAAGAAATGTATAATGAAGAATATTCAATACTATACTTATTCAGAATACTTATTAATTATACTCAAAAAAAATATTTTCATGTTCGAAAAATGTCCGCTAGGATGGCCAATCAGCAAAGAAGCTTTTTCAAAAACGAGCAACCTTATGGGCGATTTTGTGGCACAAAACCTGTTCGAGTTGTAGCTGGCGTTAACGTCAGTCTGTCCGAGAATTCCGAGATTTAGATTAGCACTGTGCCGCTGCGCGCTGATAGTCGTTTACAGCGCAGCGGATAAAGAATACTGTAACACAGTTCTGTTTTCAGTCGACAGAGTGAGTGCTTGCCGAAGATAGTGTTGCCAGAACTACTGATTAATCCGTAGATTTACGGATTTTGGGTACAGTACTTTAATAATACGAATTTTCTATCATTAAATAATTTTATATAATATTATATCATTAAACAAAGAATGGCGTCAGAGTTGGCTTGGAAATGAAGATCGCTGTTATTTCATATGATTATGTTAAATGTCAATAATCGTAATTTCCAAGCCAACTAAACGACTTTTTTCGATCATACGACATATTCAGTACCTATAAAAGAATTTTTATTTTTGTTGTTTATTCTATGTTTAACACGAATAAATTTTCAATACATAAACGCGGATTTTTAGATTTTAGGATTTTAAAGATATTTTCGCCAAACTAATTACAGATATTACGCATTTTAATATGGCAACACTATCGCTTTCAGATCCACACCATCTTCGATATGCCTTCGCTGGCCGAATTAGAGAAAATGAGTGTTTTATGCGTTGACCGCAGAACGATTGGTGTCCTCACCGTACAGCACTCGAGAATTCACTCATTAGGTTGCGTATCTTCCCAATTCTTTCAATCAATGGTATTACCAAAGGTATTACTATTGTAACCAACGTAAAATTTGTAAAACTTGCTTATTTAAAATAAGGATAACTCTGATTCGAGTATACGGAATTGAAGAAAGTGAGCATTTTTCTTCCCTAATAATATATAGTATAAATTTTGCCATGATAGATTTTACAGTTGGAGCTAGAGGGCGCTGTTTTACAATAAAAAGTATTGCATGTTAGCTAAAAATTAATTACAAAATATTGATTGACCTACCTTTATCCAGTCCATCCAATTGCTCAAAACTCTCCCCAATATCCACCAAACTTCTTATGGAAAATATTGAGTTGGGCGTCCTCAACTTACAGCTCTCTTGCGTTGTTGCAACCACCGCTTCCTCCTCCTTGGTCGTGCGAGTTGAAAGATCCATGTCCAAAGCAACCACACCATCCATAACCCGCAGCCTAGGTACCAAGGACGTAATAGTATCGGTACCGCCAAACCAGGCACACGTATCAATTAGCGACAACAACCGGAACCACTACAGCTACTAGTCTGCAAAATTAAATGATGTCTCTCGTTAAGGAGGAATTCAATCAAAAAATGTAAATCTAATTATGGGTGGTTCGACCGGTGGTGGTATAATTTTGGGTTATACCGGGGGTTTCTCAAAAGTAAGTCTCCCCTATAACTTTTTTATTTTTTTCAAATAAAAAAAAACGAGATGTGATAGTATATGACATAAATCAGGATTGATTGACGTATTCAATTCTTTTCGGTCATTTCCTGTTTCACCGGTATTGACTGCAACTTTTGATTTTTATGACACCCTCGGTATTTTTTTACTTTATTGGATAGAAAATAATACTCTGAATAGAATGACATATATTATCATATGTCAACTTTTGACATGTAATATGTCATTCGTATATGGTTTATTTGAAATTGTAACATGCGGTTCATAACTACGCGACAATTTGATTCCAAATACCAAGTGTCTATGGTACTATGGTATCAAATTATTCGTAAAAATGCTTTTTTCGAATATGCTATAATGAGCCACCCTTTTTCCATTCGAAGAAAATGATTTAGAGATTAAAAATACGCTTTAGGCATCTTTTAATCGGCCAAGACAAGACAGGAAAAACAGGATGATCAAATCTATTTTTCCAAGACTCCTATATAGATTAAAAATTAGTTATTTTAACACAGCCTGGCGCTCTAGATTGAAATTTAAAATAGGATTTTTTAAGGTCATTCTATTCAGAGTGACATTTTCTATCCAATAAAATAAAAAAGTACCGAGGGTGCCATTTAAAAATCAAAAGTTGTTGTTATTTCCGGTGAAGCAGGAAGTGACTCAAAATAATTGAATGCGTCAATCAATCCTAATTTATGTCATGTACTAACATACCAAATCTCGTTTTTTTATCTGAAAAAATAAAAAAGTTATAGCCACTTTTGACTTTTGCGGTTTACTGTTGACATCGATTAATATTTACAGTATGTCCCGGATTGTCTTTACAAAAGGAAAAACTTTTTTATTATTGACATTTTGAGCAAAATGCATTCTTCTAAAAACTAAAAAGCTTTTCATTAGTAATACAATTTCGATTTCATTCGATTCGATCGTTATAATTAATTTTGATTAACGTTATATTTTTTGATTGTTGTTAAAGTATCACATTTTCCGAACTATTATCACCCTTTCCATAGCATTGAATTAAATAAATTTTGTGCTTCTTTAACATTTTAAAACAACAAAAAAATGACGTTGATTGAAATTCTGTCAATAATAATCTATCAAGGCATGAAAAAGAAATTATATTACCATAGAAACGCGTTTTGATTTTTAGGATTTCTAGACAAATTCAACTACATTTTCATGTTTTTTTTTAATTTTCTCTGAAACGGTATGGAAATTTGGAAAAGTATAAACGAGATTACCCTTTTTAGAACAAACAAAATTTTTTATGAAGAATGCATTTCGTTCAAAATATCAGTAATAAAAAAGTTTTTCCTCTTGTAAAGACAAAGACTTTTATAAACCTAAATATATTTTGACAAATTGAAAAGGTATCTTTTTATAGGCCATGTCATATCATTTTCCAGCGAATGACTCCTTACAGAATCGACGGAATTCCTGTATCGATATCTCGTTGGCGTCACGCATAGTAATATTTATCGAAGCAGCGTCTTTTTTGCCATTGATGCTATTACTTTGTGATTGAATTGGCTCTGCTAGTGATTACTAGTTTATATGCTAACGAGTTCTAAATCAATTTTATCACGCATCGTCTTATCGTTAATTAAATAATTACCATGCAGTAATTACTGGAGGAGAATTCTATTTTAGCTAGCCAGTTCTGGTTCGTTAGTGGGAGGTTCGCTCCTTTTCTAGCTAGATCATTTGCTTTTTTCATTGCCTTCATCCCTTGGTGAGCAGGCACCCAGGGTAGGACTTTATTTTCTTGCCTAATTTGTTGAGCTTCTTAGGCATTCTTTGACCAACTTGGAATTGATGGTACTGAGTTGATCGCGTTTAGTGCTGCTTGACTATCGGATAAGATGGCAATTTCCTCTTTTCGATAGTTCCTATCTAAAATAAATTGTACGCATCTTTCGATAGCGTAAATTTCTGCCTGAAGGATACTAGGGTAGGTGTCCATTGGCTCGGAGTATTTAGTTTTCGGCCCAAATACTCCTATTTCTGTCCCTGCTTTGGTTTTAGAAGCATCAGAATACCACGTTATGGTATATGGTCTTTTATTATTAAAACTAACTTTTGTTATCAAGTCTAAACTCTACAGTTTAGATTTGATAACGGTCAGTGATCCTTCTGACCGAAACGTTGTGTTAATCAAAAAAATAAAAAAAGGCAATGGAAGTCCGAAATTCGTTTACTGTAAAGGGTGTTTCAAAGACTCTCATGATTGGGGTCCAGGAAACGGTAAGTGATATTGGGTTGCATATATTAGAGTAAAGTTGCCTGTTCCTGTTAGTCAGCCCAATGGTAATCCGTTTAGGGACTCGTTCAATATTTTATCTTTTTTATTTCCGGAAATATGGCGGAAAAACTGAAATTTCCGGTTTTCGTTTTTATTTTTTACGAGTTTATTTTGACAGTTAGAAAAAAATCTATAAAGATGACATTCTCAAAGAAACTTTCTTAGCTTCATCCTTTGATGATGTGAAAAATCACTTATGACGTTTCGTTTTTCTGGAACTCTAATCAACTTTATTCTTTTAAATATGGATATGTTTTTTTATTTCATTCTTTTCTTAGAAGGTTATGACCCCCCAAATACAATGATATAGCGCACTTATCCAAGAAATGTTCTTATACTAAGAACTATACTTATTCAGAATACTTATTAATTATACTCAAAAGAAATCGTTGAAAACTATTTTCATGTTCAAAAAATGTCCGCTAGGATGGCCAATCAAAAAAGAAGCTTTTGTCAAAAATGAGCAAACTTATGGGCGATTTTGTGGCACAAAACCTGTCCGAGATGTAGCTGGCGTTACCGTGAGTCTGTCCGAGAATTCCGAGATTTAGTTTAGCCCTGCGCCGCTGCGCGCTGATAGGCGTTTACAGCGCAGCCGATAAAGAATACTATAACGTAGTTCTGTTTTCAGTTGACAGAGTGAGTGGTTGCCGAAGACAGTGCTGCCAGAACTACTGATAAATCCGTAGATTTACGGATTTTGGGTACAGTACCTCAATAATACGAATTTTCTATCATTAATTAATTTTATATAATATTATATCATTAAACAAAGAACGGCGTCATAGTTGGCTTGGAAATAAAGATCGCTGTTATTTCATATGTAAAATATTATGGTAAATGTCAATAATCGTCATTTCCAAGCCAACTAAACGATTTTTTTCGATCATGCGACATATTCAGTAGGTACCCATAAAAGAATTTTTATGTTTATTGTTCATTCTATCTTTAACACGAAAAAATTTTCAATACATAAACGCGGATTTTTTATCCAAAGATATTTTCGTCAAACGTATTACAGATATAACACATTTTAATATGGCAACACCTGTCGCTTTCTGATCCTCACCATCTTCGATATGCCTTCGCTGGCCGAATTAGAGAAAATGAGTGTTTTATGCGTTGACCGCAGAACGAGTGGTGTCCCCACCGTACAGAACTCGAGACGTAAGAGGAAGTCAAATCAGTCTTGTCACGAATTCGTCCATTAGGTTGCGTATCTTCCCAATTCATTCAATCAACGGTTTTATCAAAGGTATTATTATTGTAACCAATGTAAAAATTGTAAAACTTGCCTATTTAAAATAAGGATAACTCTGGTTCGAGATAACAGAATTAAAAAAAGTGGGCGTTTTTCTTCCTTAATAATATATAGCTAGTATAAATCTTGTCTTTATATATTTTGCAGTTGGAGCTAGAGGACGTTGTTTTACCATAAAAAGTATTGCATGTTAGTATTGCAAAAAATTACATTACTCTGGTACATATTACAAAATATTGATTGACCTACCTTTATCCAGTCCATCCAATTGCTCAAAACTCTCCCCAATATCCACCAAACTTCTTATGGAAAATATTGAGTTGGGCGTCCTCAACTTACAGCTCTCTTGCGTTGTTGCAACCACCGCTTCCTCCTCCTTGGTCGTGCGAGTTGAAAGATCCATGTCCAAAGCAACCACACCATCCATAACCCGCAGCCTGGGTACCAAGGACGTAATAGTATCGGTACCGCCAAACCAGGCACACGTATCAATTAGCGACAACAACCGGAACCACTACAGCTACTAGTCTGCAAAATTAAATGATGTATCTCGTTAAGGAGGAATTCAATCAAAAAATGTAAATCTAATTATGGGTGGTTCGACCGGTGGTGGTATAATTTTGGGTTATACCGGGTGTTTCTCAAAAGTTGCTCACCCCTATAATTTTTTTATTTTCTTAAAATAAAAAAAAACGAGATGTGATAGTATATGACATAAATCAGGATTGATTGACGTATTCAATTCTTTTCGGTCATTTCCTGTTTCACCGGTATATATATTGGATAGAAAATAATACTCTGAATAGAATGACATATATTATCATATGTCAACTTTTGACATGTAATATGTCATTCGTATATGGTTTATTTGAAATTGTAACATGCGGTTCATAACTACGCGACAATTTGATTCCAAATACCAAGTGTCTATGGCACTATGGTATCAAATTATTCGTAAAAATGCTTTTTTCGAATATGCTATAATGAGCCATCCTTTTTCCATTCGAAGAAAATGATTTAGAGATTAAAAATACGCTTTAGGCATCTTTTAATCGGCCAAGACAAGACAGGAAAAACAAGATGATCAAATCTATTTTTCCAAGACTCCTATATAGATTAAAAATTAGTTATTTTAACACAGCCTGGCGCTCAGGATTGAAATTTAAAATAGGATT